AATTTGTGATCTGAAAATCATGGTTTTTTTGGGAGACGGTTTTTTCACCAAATTAGTTATATCTCGGTTTCTAGGCAAGATAGAGACTTGTTCTTTTTTCCATAGTGTTCAAGTTGTCCTTCACCACGTTCGCACGGGTCTTCACTTCACTTACCTTTCCTGTTCTGTGAACTGAATAACTGGAAGAATAGCAGCAGTTTAGAGAAGAATAGTAGCAGTTCAGCAGAATAATAGCATGGAGATATCCGATCAGCTGTTTGGGTGTATTGCAGACATTGCGCCGCCTTCGTGCATTCTCGCCCGAACACTTTCTAACCGCCGTTCCCTCAAGTAAAACTCGTCCAACCCCCTTTTCCACCTCTTTTTTTGACCCTTTGTAATTCTTTCTGTTCATCGTTTCTCGCGCTTTTTTCGTTGTTATCGCTTTATTCTAGAGTAGTTCTGTCAGTTAACGTCAAAAAAAGGTGCCCTAACTTTTTTGTTAACACTGCCTTTAACGGTGATTCATATGCACATTCATACAATTATTACGCATAATTTTTGGAGCACGTCATCATTAGTGAATTATCAGGCAATTCTTGTGTCACTGTTCAGTTATCAGTGCTCCTTGGTCAGCTGGCTCTATCCCAGCCCAATTCCCATTGATTCTCTGTCACTTTTTGTTATTCATAACACTCTCACTGCCGCCTCAATTGGCCTCTACGCATCCGTTCGTATTTAATCATTGTCAGTGTCACTCAGATGAGCGATCGGAGTAATTCCTCTTTGTATTTGTGCGTGTTAGAATTAATTCGTATATCGGTCAAGTTTTGGAATAGTCTAGTGGTATGTTGAGATGGGAAGGTTTGGGAGATCTATATTAAAATTTCCTCAGCGCCCGTACGCTATTAGGATTATCTTTTGTACAATGTGCGATAATTGGTAGGCGGGCCGAAAAGTGAAAAATAAAATTGAGATCAAAGAGTTACTCGAACGAGATATCCACTTTCAATGAAATTCGTGATTTCAAAGCTCAATGAATATAGAAAAGATACCCATACAAACGTCCCTGAAGTACCGAGGGGAAAATAAATGCATGGTGCATTCAAATATTAGCCGCTATCAAATTCTAACCGTCTCCAATCCACGGTGCCAACAACCATGTAGGCAGTCGATCTATTCGGTAACATATTCACCAGCAAAATGGCCATCGCTCTCATTACAAATTCAATTAGGCTCATGCAATGGGACGAACGCCGAATGTAACAAACACTACAAGTGAGTTTTCTTCCTAATCTTACTAACTCACAAAACGGCCACTTTCTTCGAAGTGCTTAAACTGTTTTCAGATAATTTCAAAACAAAATTCAGTGTTTTAGACTTTCTTTTCAGAGAAAACGGCGCTATGGTGGAGGTGTTTTATGAGCAATTAAACTTTGAAATGCTCACCGAATCCGAAGCCTATGGTGTAGGTTTCTCACAGTATTGATCTAGATGTTTTTTGATAAAAAAGCTACTCATGAGCAACAGAAAGAGCAGCATGAGCACCCATCACTTAACCACTATGAGCAATGCGGGCATTGACGCGCGCGGTTGCGTGGCGACAGGTGATGTCTTAATGGAAGTAGGAACCATCACTAAACGATTTAATCGTCATCCTCAAACGAAATTTTTATTTATGAGCTACAAAAGACCTCTACAACCTCGCATACGCTACACCACCGCGAGCAGTCCTATATGAAGATACATAAGGTCAAAGAGAAAGAGGAAAGATTTTGTGATTGAAAATATAGAGAAACGCAGTTATGGCCAGAATAAAACACTAGCTACCTTCACCTTTGCTAGGGAGCAGAAAATCGTCTTTTTCTTTGGCATTGAAATTGAGTCAAAGACAGATTTCAGTTCGTCAATCTACTTGCCGATTTTGGCGGTCAGCTTGGACTATGGTGCGGAATATCATTTCTGACGTGTTGCGAATTCGTTTTTCTTTTCATCGAGACAACCTACATGAGTGCAGAACAGAACTGGGCACTCTACAAAAAGAAAAAGGCAGAAAAAGAAAAACAAAAGGGACTGATTTAAAAATGAGTAGTTTTGCCTATCGATGCAAATATATTTTCTGGGTCAGATCATTATCATTTCCAGATTTTCTATCAAATAAAGATGTCAAAATTGTTCTATTAGTGTTTATTCGCCTTGATATTGAAAAGGTATGTACGTCGTGCAGGAAGCAAGCTGACATGATGAAGTTGGTCTGAACAGCATCAGGCAGACCGGTGTTTGGTTGGCCCTCTGGACAGTGAACATTCCTCAAGAATTACACATTCCCCAATCTCATTCTCTTTCTCTTCCTCATCAAGGTGAAAGTTCTCATTTTATTGCTGTAAAGGAATGAACTGCTTAAACAAAGAGCTATTTCTGGTAAATACTAGGCAGAGGTTAATTCCAAGAAGAATGTGGGAATGGAATTGCCTTTCAAGTCGTGCACTCGTCAAGACGAGAGGTCTTCAGTATCGCTACCGTAATTCATTACTTGCTTACCATTACTACTTTTGCTTATTGTCTTGCTCCTATCACCCAGCAACTACCGAGAGCAACACAAGAAGTCCCTGATTTGGACCCCTGATTATGTAAATACAGTACTTATGTCAGCAACCTGCTGGTACCTTTTCAGGTGGTTGTATTTACTGTTCAACTGTTCAAAAAATTCAGCTAGTTCTCAGCTACAGTTGAACTTTCGCTTCTTTTATGTCAATACCTCTGAGGATAGGCAGCAGGTAAGACATTGAAACCAAGATGAATAAAAGACTTGAGAGCTACAATATCACTGATTCGTAGGGGGAGACCACGAATCTGGTCTGTGCTTGGAAACCAGGAGAAATTCAGAGGCGCTTTCAGATTAGATGATGGCTTAAAGGCTCCATATTGTAATACAAAATGGAAGTGCGACATACAGTAAAATGGAAAGGTCAGCAATAGGGAAAAGGGACAAAACACGGCGTTAGCGAAAGACCAAAACTTGGCTGTGGTCAGTTGTTTCGAGAATAACTCGATGCACATAAATTCAGAATACTGAAATGGAGAATGTCGTTTTTGGATGGGCGAGATCACCCGATTCCAATGTCCTACAAGTAAAAAAGGTTTTTGGAAAAGAACCTTTTCACCATCGAATTGTTTAGAAATGGATTGCTTTAGAGAAGACCTAAATTTAGCGCGTAGTTGGGCATATCACGTAATTACGTAAAAAACAACGTAGTGCTGAACGCCTAGTCAAATCGACCGTTACGTAAAATTAGCTTACGTCACGCCTAGTAAAATTACCTTTCGTTACTAAGACACTCAGTCATTATAGGCAGCATATAATACTGAATTCAACCACTTATCGTGAAGCTGGGTTCATTTCTTCCACTCAGCCCTTTCCTAGCTTAGAACTATTGCTCACCTTCACGGTTTTAACCCCTTATTTGCCGGGTGCCAATAGTTACTTTTAAAGCGAGTACTTTGTAGCCATTACAATCGAGCAGACTACTTACTTCTTACTTCTCTACTGTCAAACTAGTCCTGGGAAAACTTGAAATGAATTCCAGTGAAATATGCGAAGGCATTAAATTCTAAAGTATTGCTCGAGTTTTTAGCCTCCTTTGTGTTTGATAATTATTGCCTTGAAGTTACCAGTTCGCAATGCTGTTAGTCATATTTCGAGACAAACCGGATCATACAGATATGAATTAAAAACTATTCAAGTAGCATTTTATTTCCGCTCACTTTTGTATTTGAATAGGCCGACAACTTCTACGTTATCTCTTCGCAGAGGAACTTCGGCCACAATACCAACTCACTTCAACTTTGAATCTGATCAGTCTTCCTATCGATTCATCGAAAGAATAGTTTTATAAAACAAGGTCTAAAACAAGGAAAATATTTACTTATTTCTAGATAGACCTTGCTTATTCACGAGAAAACAACTGTGAAATTTCGTTTGAATAAACAAGATAATGCATATTTTGTTAAGTAGAGTATAATAGTCTAAACAACGTAGAATAACGGAGGTCTACGGGCAAAATGCTTAAATAATAAAATTGCCGCAAAGTGCGGTGTGGTGTACGCGATTGCACATCGTTATTGGAGCTTTTTTCAAATAATCGTTGGCTTGACGCCCGCTCCAACCTCTTCAGCTGCGCTACCCAGCTGTTTATGTTTGCAACACTATTTATGGCCTGTACTCGTATAAGACCTCGTTCCTTCTCACATTTTCCGCTCAGTCACCGCATTTATCGATTTGCAGTAAATGTGCTAGTCGTTGAGAAAGTGGGCCGTGACCGTCACCCACAGTACACTGCCCACGTGGGGTTTGCGAGTGTTTCGTCTCGTTTGCATAGACAAAAGCTGAATTGTCCTTGTTGTTTTCTTTTCGGCAGCGACCACGACAAGAGTGTGGAGTCACGTGGGCCGTCTGGTGACGAATAGCTCCGCAAAAGTTTCTTTAATGAGCGATTTGCGTCACAATGCGCACAGGAATTCCTTTAGTCATACAACTTTTGAATGTTCTTTGTTGTCCGATTGTATGCTAACTAGTTCTCAAGTTTGGAAGAAAGTTCTCGGTTGTCGGGGTTTGCACAGTGGAGCGAAATGACTGCATGAACTTACGTCAAATTTATTGGTAATGGGTACCATTTCACCGTCTACGGGACAACCTGGCAATTTGGACCGTTTTTCCGTGTGCATGTTCTTATTTCGGGGGTTTATGTAAGCGACATAAGATAGAGTTGCTATTTAAGACTTTGTTTTAAACCTTCACCTGTTCTGCACCTTATAATTTTTCCTAGAATTTTCAACTTTTTCAGTTGTCTTTTGGTGATTTTTTCTGATTTTCGCCAAGCGTAAGCTGCTCCACGACAACAATTATTTACAAGAGTAAATTCGTATAGTTTCAGGAAGGTTGATCCTTCTTTGTTTCCACGAAAGTAATATTTCCTTTGAAATATTGACCACAAAATACTCAGGTTTCCTATTCTGAAATACAAACCACCTTGAAAAACAGATGGTCACGTATTAGGATAAATGTTAGAAAAACTTGAAAAAAGGCGCTGTAACTTAGCTCCCAACCTAATTGTTTTTAGCTTTTCTAAGCTTTTTGTAATTCATTCTGTAAGTTCTTACAACGATATGGCTGGATAACACTCGTTTAGGTAAGTTGAAAGGCATCTCAACTTTATTTTAGGGTAATTAGCCAAGGCATTTCATTAGTTCCAGAGAACAGTTGTTTTTACACGAAGGTGACGCAAAGAAGTGCAAGTTACTGATGCTTACATGATTTCTTGTCATGTTTGAAGAATTACTGTCAAAGAATTGACAGCATTTTTGTTGCAACACATGGCCCGTTAGTCTCTCTCATGCTGATTGAGTAGCTTTCATTGTTATGATTAATTTCTTGAATCGTATTGACAACTGCGAGAATTCAGCGCAACAGATCAACAAAGTTAAGCTTTAGCAGAAATCCCCGAATGGAAAATTAAGAAAAGCTCAGCTTGAATAGTTGCATTTATTTCTTGCATTGGAAAGTCGAGGGCCAGGTCCTACTCACCATCCTAGTTCTTCAGCTGTGTGGTGGAAGGAGGGGGCTTTTTCCAACTTTTCCATCCGATTGCAGTCAGTGAAGAGAATTATTTGGTGTACCACCTCCTACACGTCCGAAAACGCGAACATCCCAACCATC